AATGAATGGGAGGTACAGCTACTGCCTCTCATACTCAAACCAACATAAAAATCTTAAGCAAGGCATGAACCTCTTCTTCTCACGTATGTCCTCATATTCCTTCTATGACGTCCATTTATTTCAGTATTTCCATAGCAACTGTAGCTATGAAATTACCCCAAACATAGAGGATTTCTAAATTGTATCAGAGTATGCTAAGGGAAAAAGCAATGATAACAATGTTATTAATGGATTAAGCCCTTATATTAGTAAAGGATTTCGTAATGTAAAAAACATCACAATTGTTCATTCCTAGTCTTAGAAGACAAAGAAGAAGCTAATATCTTCCTTTCATAAGAAGAGCCTCATTTTATAAATGAGGATACTGGTTCTCAGAAATTAAATGACTTATCCAAGGTCACACCAAGGTAAGGTCTAGAAGCAATATATTCTGTTTATATCACCTTACTTCTTTTTTTTTAATAAATTAATTTTTTTTGGTGTTCAGTTTACCAACATACAGAATAACACCCAGTGCTCATCCCGTCAAGTGTCCCCCTCAGTGCCCGTCACCCATTCACCCCCACCCCCCGCCCTCCTCCCCCTCCACCACTCCTAGTTCATTTCCCAGAGTTAGAAGTCTTTATGCTCTGTCTCCCTTTCTGATATTTCCCACACATTTCTTCTCCCTTCCCTTATATTCCCTTTCACTATTATTCATATTCCCCAAATGAATGAGAACGAAGCTTAGTGCTCATCATTTTAATCTGTTGATTTGTTTACACAAATCCATAAGAATAATCAAAACTAAGCTTTTAAGAGATCACTAAAGTACAAAAGCATCTCATTGATTTTGCTAACAACTATACATAAACTTAAAATAACTATTACAGGGGTCTCTGGGTGACTCAGTCAGCTGGGTGTCTGACTGTCAATTTCAGCCTGGGTCACAGTCTTGGGGTCATGGGATGGGGCCCCGCATCAGGCTCCATGCTTAATAAAGAGTCTGCTTGTACCTCTCCCTCTGCTCCTCCCTCTACTCAAGTGTGCTCTCTCTCTCTTTCTAAAATAAATAAATAAACAAAATCTTTTAAAAAATAAAATAACTAGGTGCCTGGGTGGCTCAGTTGGTTGAGCATCTGCCTTCAGCTCGGTCATGATCCTGGGGTCCTAGGATAGAGTCCTGAGTTGGGCTCCCTGCTCAATAGGGAGCCTGCTTCTCCCTCTCCTACTGCCCTTCCCCTCCCTTGTACTCGCTCTCAAATAAATGAATAAAATCTTAAAAAAATAACTATTATGTAAGACACTTATTGAATTTGTTCAAAGTAAATATAAATAAATCTCAATAGTGGATAAGTTATAGTTTAATATATGGCTTCACATTGCTGATGGTTCTGTGAATTTGAAAAATCTTTCTTAACAAATCTAGCAAAAGTTCTCCAAATTGCTACAAAGTAAACTTGGTAATATAAATCAAAGAATTTTGTAGGGAAAAAACTCAAAATAATATAAAACTTTTACTCAGCTACTTATTGGCATGTTATTCACAATACTGAAAGAATAGAAAATGCCCAATATCCTTCTAGTGGTAAACAGCTTTAAAATGTAGTATACAAACGTAATGTAAAACTAAACAGATAAAAAGATAAAAAATAGAGGTTATTAACAATGGAAAGCTATATACATATTTTATTAAGTCAACCAATAGAAAACACAAAAGAAAGCACGTATAAAATGATTAAAGAAAATTAAAGTGCCCAGAGAACCAAACTGGTTTAATTATAGTTATGTATGTGTAAGGATTAAGGATTCAAGAGACAACAGGAAAATCAGAATAATCAGTGAAGCAAAGATAAAGACATACCTGATATATTTTCCCTCCAAATTATATAAAAGGTCAATTCAAATATGATCTAAGTTGATCAATAATCAATTTAAGCAAGAACAAATTAAAGTTATATTAGAAGAGTCTTCTTTCTAAAACTCAAAGCATCATACATGGATGGTCTTTACACAGAAATAATGAACTAAACCATGATCATTAATATTCTGATTCTATTGAAAAAAAAAACATACTGACTGAGGCCCAGGGCCTGGGTTTTCTCCATTTTTTTATACAGGATGTCTCTTGTACCTCAGTTTCCACCAACAAAACAAGAGACAGTTTGGATGGATGGCATCACAGGTGCTTCTGTTGGAGAGTTTTGATTCCAAGACACAGGCTCCTCCTTACTACACATTCTGTCTTCAAAACCAATTTGTTTCCTTTTAGTCCCCCAGCTTCCCTAAATCTCGTCAAAAGAAAACTTTTACACTTCTGGTGCGGCAGCTTATTGTACCAATGAAAAGTCCCAAAGAAATTAAAACACTAACACATCCATCCGAGAGCTTGAGGGCTGTGTTGAACTCTGAAATCAATATTGAACAAGGGTCTCTGAATCCAGCTTAACTGAATTCTGATAAGAATTAAATTACATTTTTAGAGTCACCATGGATAGAACTCATAAAGAAAAATCTTGATTAAAGGTTCTTTGGAAGGAGAGAAGTCAAAAAGGATGGTAAGAATTTCCATTGTTTGACTTCACCCAGCTCTTCCAAGGATGTGATTAAATATTTCCCAGATACTCTCCCCTTGTCATAAGCACAGTCTGACAGTAGGCAACCAAAGCAGAGAGAATTATCAACTGAAGAATCACTGAGCTCCTATGCCTGGCATGGAGCTTGGAACCTGAGCCGACACACAGTAGAAACCCATAATTTAGCCTGATTACACCTTTTTTTCAGTCTCATTACACCCTCAAAAGGGCAAGAAAAGCATTAAAAAATGGGACAGGGGTATGCCTGAGAGGTTATAAACAATTTGCTAAAGCCCAAGGGGTCTCACGACACATGTAATGTCCTCATATTCAGAAATACTAAATATGTCAGAAATACTACCAAAATTTATCTCAGAATAACATGCATTCCATTACCATTCCTTGGGCACGCCAAGTGTGCTTTACAGGATTGCTTCATTTCATCTTCAGAAGCCACTGGGGAGAATCCTGCAATCACCCCCATTATATATATGGGGAGGGCAGGGGCTTGGAAAGATCGAGTAATTTTCTCAAGGAGACAGAGCATTAAGTGATGAAATGAAATTCAAGCCATGTTCTTCACACCATGTTACACTGTTTCCCAATATTGTTCCAATGCTTCCTAGCCCTGAGGGACATGAGAAAAAATGAAGGCGGCCACTGCCAGAGCACCATTAAAGTGGCAAGAATCAACAATACAGTCCCCAAAAGGATGAAAAATAGACATAGAGCTACAAAAAACAAAACACAAAACAAAACAAAACAGAAGAACCCACAGCGTTGTGTGGTCACTTCATATAAGGACGAACGGCCACAGCTTCTTCCAGAGGCTCTGAGGACCTCATCGTCAGAGAGCTCACTGAGGTAAATAATTTCATGCAGTAGCCCTAAGTCATTGTGAATGATAGTCCATACAGTCTGTTTATAAAGGTAGGGGATTTTGAAATTTTCCCCTTTTCAGGAAAGATTTCAAAAGGTGAGATTTGAAATATTCTTATTTCCTGAAGAGGGAAGCTTTCATTCAGTAGACTTTCTCTCATATGTAACAGCTCCTTTCCAGACCAATAGGACATTATGGTGTTTGTGTTTATGTTCTAAACAAACTAAAAATGTGTGGTGTCAGCAGAGACTATAGGACCAGGGGTGTGAACAACTGAATATAGCCCTGGCTATGACACCAAGGACTGAACGGAAGAGGTCATCTTCCTCCTCTCTGTGTTTCTGTGTTCTCACTTCTAAAAAGAGGAATCTGTTCCCAGCTCCCGCATTGTGAGGCGCTATGACGATGCCATATGTGTTTAAGTTAAGTCGCCTTTGGGGAGAGAAACAAAATCAAATGGAACCTAAGAGATGCAAAACAATATTGAGCCCTGCAAGATCTTCATCTTCAAGAACTTTCAGATCTGCGCCACAGACTCCAGGGCTGCAATGAGTAGAGCCTTTAGGTCATGGGAAGATACCAATGAGGCCAGAAGCTTCTGCAGTGAATTTGAACCTCCGTGTTCTGCAGAGCTATGTAAAACTCCTGAGACCTTGCACCCAAGGCTTCTTTTATGTTAAAATGCCTGGGCACTGAGGCCAAACCATGTCTCTTTTGCGGGTTTGCAAAAATGCACCAATCTTTCCACTGCACCGATTTTTCCACTCATAAGTGTTAAACAGATTAAAATCATGCAGAAAGAGAGCAAAGATATGTATTTTAAATTTTAAAAAAAGTTTATATTCCTTCATCAAATTGCTCTACCACAAAATAGCTTAATGTGTAGATTTAAGTAGCCCGGTAAGAAATGAAGATAGTGTGAGTATTTATTAGCCACCCAGCTATGTTATTAAAATATAGTTACTGTGTTCTTAAAACAAACCAGAATTATTAGCTCAGTCAGCATTACTATTCATTTTCCTGTATAATAAAGGATCTATCTGTTTGCATCATTGAAAACCTGCTGGGTATGGTAGGTAAGAAGTCTTTTGGGAAGATAAGAGGTGACTCAAAGGGCTCAGGAATTTGAAAGAGCATTAAGGAGTCCAGAGGCCCTGCAATGTTTCTTTATGAATCCTGGCAAATTCAAATGCACAGTGAGACCTAATAATAAGAGGTATGGCTCTGCTACTTGGGAAGCCTTCTGCTGTGCAGGGGTGGGGTGTGAGCTTGTACATACATGCTGGAAAGGCACAAGGGGGATGATCTTCCCAGCAGACCACTAATTGATGACAAGCAGATCTTCCTAACATGACATGCCTTTCTGACCTCATATGAACAGGGGACAATCGGAAAAAATTAAGATATGCCAACCTACACACACACACACACACACACACACACACGCACACACACACTTTGAAATTGGGGGAGAAATAAAGATCTGCTGGCTATACTCTATCTGGCGTGATTGGCATTCTGCCAAAGAAGACATCTTTGCAAAGCAGCAGAGAACGTGAACTTACAATGTAGCAGGGCTCGCAGTAAGCTTTCTTCTCCACCGCATAGAAGGGCTGTCCCCGGAGCTTGTTGTTGCAGATGATGCAGGTGAAACAATCCACATGGAAGACCTGATCCATGGCAGTGCATCCTGTCCCTTCCCCAACCACATTTTCTCCACAGCGAGCACAGCGGCCTGAAAGAAAAAAGAGACGGACTCCTAAGAACACACCGAGGAACACCTTCAGTCCTCCCAGGACTAAAGCCAACACAGATGAGACAGCCGATTCATCATGTCCGCAGCAAGAGGACTTTAACGCCACCACCGTCACGGCCACCAGGAGCAGGATCGCCAGTACAGCCACCACTGGCCCGAGTAAGGCCGCCATGATGGGGAGTTTACATGCGGCCTTTGTGGAGAGGACCCTCACAGCCCAAGGACCTACAGAAAGTGACAGAGTAGAACTCAGGTCCTCCAATGTCGAGGCCAGTGCTGTGCCTCTAATCTCACACCAAGGTTTGAGGAATGTGACTCAGCACGGTAGCAGTGGAAGGCACGGTCTAGGCAACGTCTTTCTGCTTGGAGAGTCTACTTGTCTAGTTAGACTGTGAGGGCACTGGGTAAAAAAATCAAACTTCAACTCCTTTCAGGAAAGCCCAGGTTATAAAATCTCTACATCCAGCCCTCAGTGACAGACAGATCAAAAGGGAGTCCCTTTTATTTCCTGACAGTTCTGACTGCTAGAAAGTTCTTTCTCATACTGAACCAGACTGCTTCCTCAAGCTAACTGCTACCCAGTACTTCCAGTTCTGTCTTCTAGGGCCTCATGAAATAAGTTTCATCTTTTATACCTGACACCCTTTAAGTTATTACAATTCAGTTAGTATTGCCTCCAAGTTTGATCATACTTTGAACATCCCTAAAACCTGCCAACAGTTCCACATACTATAGGGCTTTGAGTCCTGATGGTCCTGGTTGTGACTGTCCAGCCCAGTGTTCTGTGGGCTTTCAGCATTCTCAAAATGATTTACTGGGCATCTGGACCACATATGGACATCAGATTGAGGTTTTCAAAAATTCATTGTTTTAAATAGAAACAATAAAGCATAACTCAAGACAAATATTTATGTCAGTGTGAGGCACTATGCTGGCCGCAGTCTGTATCTTTATCTGGTTCCATCATGGGAATCTTGAGTCAGGGATCAGATCCACATCCAGTTTTCCTTCTTCTTCTTTATTTCTATAAGTAAAAAGTCTTAACAAATAATCACAGGTTACTGGGAATGTCAGCAAGAATCTGGGGGCTGTAATACATAAGCTGTAGCAAACCTAGTGCTTCCTGTGTGCCAGGCATTTTTAAGGGGCTTCATAAACATGTTAACTCATTTCCTGTTTACGACCATCCATGACATACGTCTGTTATTATCCATATTTCACAGATGAGGAAACTGAGTCACTAAAGTGGTTAATGAAATTCAAATCCAACTAATCTAGCTTCAGTGTCCATGGTTTCAACCACTATGCTCTCTGGCTTCTGCTTAGCGTTGTGCATCAGGATTGAACACAGAGCTGACATTATGGGGAGATTTCTCACTGAAGACTGCTTTCAGCACTCCATCACATTGGATTGACAATCATTTCACACCTAAAAATGGGAGGGCTAAATGTTTCAACTTGGGAGAAAAGAGGCAAATATATTTCTAATCCTCTCTGGTTGCATTGGCACTGGAAAACATTTCTATATGTTCTGTTGCAGGCCTTGAATGTATTTTTAAAATATAACCCAAACTACAGATCATTTTCCCCCTAAGGAACAAGAAGTATCAAGTACTGGAAAAAGAGTTAAACTCTTGGAAACTGAGCTGCCTCCACTGTAGTTGATATTATAAAGTCCTGGTATCATATTCTTCACACTTGATTAAAACTTTTGTAATAAACTTTGTGGCTTGTTTTACAAACTTCTACCCAAGAGTTAAAAATGCAACTGTTTTTATCATGAGATGTGTATAACCTTAGAAAGTTGCCTTTCAAATTTTGGATTTTAATTGCCTTTAGTAACAAAACTAGGTCATTGTGTATGGTATTTGTTTTCTGATTATTCAGGAAAAAAACAACCAAACAACCCAACAGCTTAATTGGTTTACTAAAAAGTTCATTGTGCTATATTTGAACTTGATGCTAAACTTCTCAAAGCTTCATTTGATCTGTCATTTTATCACAGAAAACACACTGGGATCATAGGCAAGTGGATCACCAATTCATAAAGTCTTATTTTTTAAAGAGCCATCATCATTCTTAGTATTCAAACCTTTCTTTTTCAACTGCTTGTGCAAATCACCAAAATTTACATTTTTAAGATTAATCCAAAGTGGTATTTATGGTATTATCTTTATTACTATTTTTCCTGCCTTCATTGAATCATATTGAAATCACTGATCTATTTTGGTGAACTAAAGAAATAATGCAATACAACAGTGATAATGAAAAATAAAGGTTTAGCAGCAGCAGAATAAACATACTAATGACATGAAAATATTTTGAGCTACATGGCACTGTTGGTGAACACTGGTCAAATAATACCAATCAATAGGGGTCTGTGATATATGTGCAATCTTTAAGAATGCGATGATTATTAAGAAGAGCATAATGGATTCCTGAGACACCTGGGTGGCTCAGTTGGTTAAGCATCTGACTCTTGGTTTCAGGTCAGGTCATGGTCTCATGAGTCATGAGATTGAGCCCTGTGTTGGGCTCTGTGCTGAGTGGAGAGTCTGCTTAAAGAGTTTCTCCTCTGACCTCCCCCCACCCTGCCCCTGCTCTCTCTCTAAAATAAATAAATAAACCTTTTTTAAAAAAGAGCACACTGGATTCCTGTGAAAACTGTAATTTTACATTTTGAATCTGTTAAATTCAGGTCAGTGGAATTATTTTTAATTATTACTTTTTCCCTTTCTAGACCTTAAACTGGGCTCCTTGATGGTCCACCAGACTACTAGCAATGGGTGAACCACACCTTGGGGGGAAAAAATTCTGACTAAATGTTATAGTTTGCTGGTCATGGTGGTCTGTAAGATACCTGGAGGTAGTTATTTTGATTCAGACCATTGCTGGACCAAAGTATAATTTCTGGAACCCAAAAGTTTGAGTCTACATGGTTCTTGGAGAGTTTGCTAGCTAACCCTGAGGCTCTGGAGGAGAATCTCAATCACTGATCAGAGAGAAAGAAAAGGGCAGACGCCTAAAGGTCAGGTTGAAAGACAAGTTTTGAAATTTTCATTCTGTTCAAGAAACGTTCCCCAGGTATCTACTCTTTGCCAGTACTATACTCTGCTTCTGTGTGATGATATACAGGAATGGATGAGACAATGTCAGCGCCTTTAACAAGATGATATCCATTCTTCAATCACATGAAAAAAGGTGCCAAGTGCCATAGGAGAAAGTGCTATGGAGCTGTGGAAGGAAAATCACACGAGAGGGGTCCAGAAAGGTTTTGGGAGAGAAAGAGGCACTTGAGCCCAACTCAAGGATGGAATTGTGACAGGTGGAGATGGGAGAGAGAAAAACATTCTAGTTTTTTCCAAAGAGAATGAGTGGCTCAGCTTGACTAGATCCCAAACCTCTGCAGTAACTTGGTGCTGGCACAACAAGAATTTGTCTTCTCCGCTATGAAAGCAGATGGGCTGTATTCATAAGGAACAATCTTCTCCTTTATATTTTGGAGAACATTCTTCCAGAGTAGGTCAGGCTAATATGCTGGACCCAGACATGACCAGCTCTGCTGCCTCCCGTATTTTTCCTATTCTTGGGAGAAATCGGGGACACAGGCTCGAGGGCAGTCAGTCTGGCACCTTTAAAATCACAAGCACAGAAAAAAAGCTAAGAACAAAAAATAAAAATAGCCCTACACATCAGCAGGACAGAAAAGGTGCCCAAATGTTCTCTTTTCACATGAACAAAATTTACAAACTATGCCTTTTAGGGAAGCATTCACAATGGAAAGAAAGTTACTCAAGCATAGTACATCCTTGCCCCTAGAGGGGCGTACACTACATATCATTAAAAGCAGACTACAATCTTAATGCCCATCTTTTGGACAAGTATCTTAGTACTTTTAAATGTGAAAAACCAGGGGAATGGTACTAGACTTGAAGGCATCAGAGCATGAAGGAAACAGAGTTGATTAGGGGCTGGTAGGAAGCTCACATTCAGACTCAGGGCTGGTATGAGGGAGCTTGCTGGCAAAGCTTAGCACAGCAATTTAAAAAACCCAATGACAGAGGATCAGTCAGTCTGAAGAGAATTTTGATAGTGAATTAAGATGCCTGAATAAAAAAAGAATAACTTGTTTCCAAAGCTTGCCTATATATTATCACTTGCTATGTATATTGCTTCATATTTACTGTGGAACCAGGCACGGGTTCTTCTCATCCCTTCCCGATGTATCCTATCATAACTATAGCAACTTCTGGAGTGAAGCCTCTTTGAAAGGCTTCTTTCCACCACACTCCTACTACCCAAATCAGGATCCATTATCTTCCATGGGCCATTCCAATGGTTTCCTGACTGCTCCAGTATCTGATCTACTTACTCTTATAAATGGGAAACTTTATGGAAGTCTTAGTATTGAGCTAAGTCTGAAAGGTTATCCAGAATTTGAACAAGTCATTTTTAGAAATAGCATGGGTGGAGGGTGACATTATTAGGCAAATAACAGGTTGAGCAAGGGAGGTAGAGTAGTAGGATCTGGTTTTCATATTTATTGCTTACAGTTTTGTCTTTTGGTAATGTGGACATATTTAATGTGAAAATAATATTTTTATTGAAAACTGGTTTTTTTTTTGTGTGTGTGTGTGATCCTTGCACTATTAGTGTAATAGGTCACAGGCCCTCTTTAGCAAACACTGCTTGTTTTTGAGGTAGGATAAAAAATGTCCATAGCCATTTGAAAGCTGGTGATACTCCCAAACTTGTGCATTATTTAACATCAAAAGTAAAATAGAAACTGTATGCATACACAGGCATCAAGCCAGGTCACATTTGTCTTCATGTCATCACTGCTATCTGACTTTAATAACTGAAATTTTAGGCACAAGCAAAAGTAATATTCTATTTTTAAATATCACAATGAATTGAAACCTTATATGCCAATTGTATGATATATCAGCTTTCTTATTATGCACCTTCTGCAAAATATT